AGCAGGATGACCATGAGCCAGCAATGTGCCCTCGTGGCCAAGAAGGCCAAGGGCATCCTGGGGTGTGTTAGAAAGGTCGAGAGAAGTCCTCCTGCCCCTCTACTCTGCCCTGGGGATGCCACATCTGGAATATTGTGTCCAGTTCTGGGCCCCTCAGCTCAAGAGAGACAGGGAACTGCTTGAGAGAGTCCAGCGCAGAGCCACAGAGATGATGAAGGGAGTGGAACATCTCTCTTAGGAGGAAAGGCTGATGGAGCTGGGTCTCTTTAGCTTGGAGGAGGCTGAGGGATGACCTCATAAATGTTTATAAATATGTCAAGGGGGAGTGTCAGGAGTACAGAGCCAGGCTTTTCTCAGTGATGTCCAATGACAGGACAAGGGGCAATGGGTACAAGCTGGAGCACAGGAGGTTCCACAAAAATATTAGGCAAAACTTTTTCACTGTGAAGGTGACAGAGCACTGGCACAGGCTGCCCAGAGAGGCTGTGGAGTCTCCTTCTCTGGAGACATTCAAAACCCACCTGGACGCGTTCCTGTGTGACCTACTGTAGGTGATCCTGCTCTGGCAGGGCGATTTGACTAGATGATCTTTCAAGGTCCCTTCTAATATCTAATATTCCGTGATTCTATGATTATGTGATTCTGGAATAATGTAAGAAAAATCTACACAGAGCACAGATCCCCTCTTCAGGGATTTTCTTCTCCAAAATTTTGCATGTTATGAAACACAGCTCCTTTCTGAGTGAATCATCCCCAGTTACATCTACCATGACTTCTCAGAAAAAGAATATCAGACAACAGTTAACACACTCAACATCTCAACATCTGGCAATGCAGACAGCAAATGTGATGAAAAAACCTGCCAGCTGCTACTCTGAGCAGTCAAGCCTTATGTGAGGTGACATGACTGGTGGACCAAGGTCAGGAGCTTTATTTCTTCAGAAATAAAGGCTCAAATTTTGCTCCTGTGAGCAGAAATGTGACTTGAGTGACCAGGATTTGGCCCCCGTGTTAAGGAGCTTTATCCTTTCAGCTGTAAAATCAAAAGGAGGGGCAGCAGTGGTGAGAATCTGGCCAGTTTTTCTGAAAGGCAAAAAGGGAATTTGGGACAAAGGAAGCTATTTAAGTTCTTTGGCCTCCTTAAGCTGTTGACTGGTAGATGAAATAACGTCAGCTGCATGCAATTAAACATATTGCTTATCTTTGCAGATGTCCAGAATGATTCCTGGGTATACACAGCACAACTGTGTGAGAGGTACAGGACTGCACAGCCATGTGGGGACAGTCATATCTCCTGACAGGTCACAGTCAGCACTGGCCAGAAAGCTAAAGCTCTTTGAACAATGTTGGGCTTTCTCAGGGAATCTGCACTTTGCACTTCATTTACAGTGTCTTTTAAAAAGGCTGAGATTTAAACTAGTTCACATATGATGCAGGGTATCAAAACATTAGTCCAGGGATCGTGTCACTATTGAAATAGCATCTGAGTCCTCTTGACTGTGATTACACTTGGTTATTTTGGACAGATATTATTTCTGCTTCTATGAGCTGGAGGAGCAGCAGGTCAATTCTATCTTGCCCATCCCAAAGGACTAAGGGAAGTATCAACGGCACTAAGACAGGAGGAGAAAGTCTGATGATTGCTCTGCTGCCAGCCCAAAGTGTTGTTGTAGTGTAGAGGAACATGCATCTTGTAAGGAGACGCTGAGCAGCAAAATGTGCACCCTGTTCTCCATACACTCTTAGGAGCTAGAGCAAAATATAAGATATGGTAACAGGATGTATGTTGAGCAAGGCAGAGGATATATCATGAAAATGAATGGAATAATACATTCCTTAAAATAAAAATATGATGTTCCCCTGCTCGCTGTGACGTCACTCCATCAGGCAAATGTAGCCACACGTGGACCTGAACCAGGGCTGAAAAATAAATGTGGCAAGTGGGATTTCCTTATGCTGAGGGCCAAATGATTCAGGCTGCAGCAAGATTACTTTAGAAAATCTCTCTATGCCTCTGGTGTAGCTTTGGACTGAAAATTTACTTTTGTTTAGAAATACCAGGGCTTCCCCAAATGACAGGAAAACATGCATATGAAGCTATAACATTTGCTGTTGCTTGGGAGTAACAGTCACTTATAGACTTTATTTCCTGTTCTTATGTCTTCATCAAGCTCAAAAGTTTACTGTTGCTTTAACTTTCTATGTACATAGCTATTCTTAGACTGCATCTTCTGGAAAACTGAGAAAACATATCAAAATACTTTTCAAGGAGTAGGTGGTCCCTTGAGGGACCTGGAGGCATTGCTAGTAATTTAACTGTCAGGAGTTTTATTTTTCAGAATAAATATAGTGTCTTTTTTTTTTACTATGTTTTTTACCATAATGCTTCCATAGTAAAGAACTCTGGTCTTCAGCAATGTGAGTAGAGGCATGCAAGCATATCAAATGGGAAAATGGCAGCAAATGGGAATGTGGCATTTTATGCAAGTGTTGTTAAAGCTGCTTGTCAGGATCCCCAACAACAATGGTCTTGAACCCTTCTGCAAGTAAATAATAATTTAAAAATATTCTATTACTTTATCTGTACCCCAGATTTTGACCAATGTTCCCCACTATTTTGTTGGTGAAGTGAAGAAGGCAGCAGGATGCTTTTGCACCTCCAAAGACATTTCTCTTGTGAAATAATGGTCCATTTAGGAAAACTCAATATCTATTTCTTAGTCTTTGTCCCCCTGCACTCTGAGGAGATTCCTTGTTAGCTGTGCAATCAATAAAACACAGATCTTCATCAACTAGTAAATCTAGTCTATTAAAACACAGGTTTGACAGTTAATTCAATTGCAAACAAAGTTGTAGCATGGCCAGTACAAGAAAAAAAGTGACCTTATAAGTGAGATACATACATTGTCTAGATGCAAAGCTATATGACAACAGGGCACGTTGCATGGATACAGACATAAACACACTAGTGAGATTAGACTGGCTAATTTTTTTCCATTCCCCTGTGGTATTTAAGGTATACAGTGTCTTATTGGAAGCTCCAAGATTTTCACTAGCACTTGCTCAGGTCTACTCGTGACAGGGGAGAAATGCAGAAACATAGCTTGCCCTACTCCTTCCAATCATCTGCCCACCATCCCTTTGCACAGGCTCCCATCTCCATCCCATTTCCATTGCACATCAGTGGTAATATTCCCTTTTCCTTCAGTAGCATGGGACCAAGTACTGCAGGAGTTCACATGGCACCATTAGATCAGCTCTCACGTCTGCCACTGAGTTACTGAAATATGGATTTGGAATATGAACTTTAGTGAAGACTTATGATAAAACTTTGTGCTTACATCAAAGGAAGCATGAAGTGACCGAAATAGATCGACTCTGCAATTGGATGTAACCCTTAGATAGCCAAGAAAAAAATCATTTTCCCAGCAATTTGCCAAGTATTTTCCCACCTGATCAGCAATGATTTGTTTTCTGCATATTTCAGACAGAGACGAAAATAGCTAGCTGCAGTTATTTTTGTTTGGGACCAGTAATGTTCAGCTTATAGACTGCTTTCTGCCAAAAAGTTAAGAGCATTGATGAAGTATCACCCACTGACACAAACATTCCTGTGGATGGATTTCACAGGGAGGGAGGGCTTTCAGTACTTTTGCTAGTTTTCATATGGGACTGCCTGCTTTCTTGGAAAATCTGACAAAATTTCTTGGGTAACACAGCAAATAAAACCGAAATCTAAATATAGTCAAACAGAGTTTGGAAACCGCAAGCAGTCTGATTTTTAAGAACCATATTTTAGAAAATATTCAGGGACCTAAAAATGCAGGCAGCTGCTTGGTGAGGTTTTCTGAAGTGCACATAGGTGTAACCCCCATTGCTTTCTAAAACAACCCTTCTCCTCTTCCTCTTCCTCCTCTGCCACCTGTCTTTCCTCCTGTTCCTGGCTTAGTGCTTCCCCATTGCACTGGTGTGTGCTTGATGTCAGGGAATTCAATGTGACTGGAAATTAATCCTATGGGAAAAGGGACCAGTTTCCTCCTTGGCATGAGCAGGAGGTGAAGGATTAGGGGTGCATTTGGCTGCAGTTGGCTGTTGGACTGGTTTACCTGTGCGGAGGAAACCACTCCCTAGCTACCCATTTGGACCAAAATAGTTCTAAAAGTTTGCCTTTGGATCCCTGCATGGGAACTGGCAACACTGAGCATAAAAACAAGTGTTGCAATGACCTCGAAGGAGTCGGTGCCCAGGGGAAGAGCTGCAGGGTGCAGCCTGGTGCTCCGTGTGCCCGCATCCTGCCCTCATCATCTGACTCACAGCGCTCCACGCAGATGCTGCTTACTTGAAATCATTATCTCACTTGGCAATCAGTAAACTCTTAAGCAAAATATCTTGGTGGCCTCCTCAGAGCGGAAAATTTAGAAAGGTTAAGGCCTTCTGAATAGCCTGAGCTAGTGCTGGGTCCTGCTTGGCTCGCTGCCTGCTTTGTAAGTCAGCCTCAGCAGAAAGTATTGGCAATGCTTTACTTTTTTGTTACATGCAAACCTTTGGCCGGTGTTTGCAAAGGGAACTAACAGAAGACATCTCAACCTTGCACCTCTGCACACACAGGGAAATGGAGCATGGAGAAGTTCAGATACAGTCACTGAGGCCATCATGTTGCTGGTTGAGTACTGCAAAATTAAGTAAATGGACTCTAGCAGCACGGTAAACCCCTTGCAATCCCTCGTCCTGGGAAGTGTGAACAGTAGAGGTACATCTATACTGCTAAACAGAAGAGGATGAGGGATGACATCCAGGCACCCAACTGCTGATCATCCTGTCTCGGTTTTGGCCAACTTGCAATGAGCTCTTTCGAGGACACTTTTGTATCAGACACCTGGTGATGATCAGCATAGCTGCAGGCTGGCCACTACCACACAGTCTCTGTCACTGAATAGTATGGATCCAGTCTAGATTTCCCATCAGAAATGTAGGTATATCATTTTGCAATTCTGCATCGGCTACCTGCGGTACAAACTTCTGATTCTCGCTTTGAAATTTTCAGCAGCGAAGTAGTAGAGGATGGGATCGAGGCAGCTGTTCGTGGCAGCGAGGCAGAGAGCAACCACCAGCGCTTTGTGCACAGGCAGGTTGGCCTGGCTGCAGCTGCCGCGCATCAGGTGGAGAGTTCGCAGCACGTGATACGGCAGGAAGCAGAGGAGAAAGAGGATGAGAGTGATGATGATGGTTGACAGGGCCTTCTTGTGACAGACCGTCTTCTCACGCTGTGGAGCTCTGGACTTGAGCAACGCTTTGATTGCAAAGACGTAGCAGATGATAATTGTGCAAAACGGCAGAATGAAGCCCACCACGAGGACAAAGCTGTTCATCATGAGGAGACTGTGTGTGCTGGAGGGGTGGAGGTCCAAGCACTTGTCTGGGTTCTTGTACCCAGCGATTTCCTTGCTTAACAGAGGGCTGGAGGCTGCCAACACGAACAGCCATATGACTGTGCATATTATCTTGGCGTACTTTATGTTGGTTATTTTCCAATGTTTGAACGGGTAGACAATGACTATGAAACGAACCACACTGAGCATGGTGAGAAAATAAATGCTGCAGTACATGTTCACGTACAAGGTGTAAGTCATGATCCTGCAGACGATATCACTAAATATCCAATGTGATCCCATCAGGTAATATGTGGCTCGAAAGGGCAAAGTGCTCACAAACATGAGATCTGAAACAGCCAAATTCTGCATGTAAATGTTTACTGAGGTCTTCCTCTGCGAAGGCTGGAAGAAAACATAGATGGAGAGGCCATTTCCGACAGCACCCAGGAAGAAGATAGAGAGATACATGATGGGATAAATGACTTGCTTGAAGCTGTCAATTGTACAGTTGAAGGAGCTGTTAGTGAAGTTGTTGTCTAGTGCCATCTCGGAAGTATTCACAGTCTAGAACCAGGCTCCCCGTCTTTCTGCCAAAATAAAAAGAAATTGTATGAGTGCTGGGTTAGAGGCTGAGCAGGGAGTTCAGTATTGCTGAGGGCAGAAATTGCAAGATGCAGAGGGCAGTGGAAAGTGAAGGTTCGTTAATGAGTAATTTCCCAGTAAATATACATCTCGGGCATCAAGCTCAAGACATCTCTAAACAGTTTCAGTATTTACAGCAGCTGGTTTTTGTCTCAACCTGTGAAAAAGATGCCTTTTAAAGGTGAGTGCTATGTGTGTATTTTAATGGCAATTCTCTTATCTTCTCTATGCAAAACAAGCTGACTTTCTGTCAGCCATTTCAGAGCAGAGAGGTTTTGAGTCCCCAGTTACCTACCCTGGAAACACCAAAACCTGATCAGAGAAGAAATTACTGCCCACTGGTAAGTCTATGTTTCAAATTACACTGACAAGCCAAAAGAACTGAATTTGCATTTTGGAACTAATGCATTATTTCTGGTACGTTGTTGGCAGCATGTCACGGAACTTTCCCAAGCAATTCCAAAAGGATATTGATACATATCACAACATATAAATTAAGGACATTTTCATCTTAAACACTGTGTAAATGCTAGTAATGCATGGTTCCTTTTTTATCTCCCTCCTCCTTACTCTGCATTTCTTCTTTATTTTAAGCTTCTGATAGCTTCCTATGTCTCTTTTTTAGGGCCTTTTTTTCATTAACCACTTTCTCAACGTCTTTTGTGCTCAACTGCTCTGCATCTGACAGTCGCATACACACACTGCAGCTTCCAGGGCAGCTCACAGTTTCAGCCCTAATGAAAATGGCCTGTGAGAAAATGGGCTATGTTCACAGAAAATAACATTTTTTCTCCTATGGGGCTATAACTCAATCAAATCAAAACCACTCATCACTAAAACAGTCTAAACAATACTTTTTTTTTTTCCTCATTAGAGTCTGTTTCCTTGCCGAACTCCTGATTTCGCCTCTCAGCCAAACTGCAGCTTTTTGAAAAGAGTGTTTTAGTATTGTTGTTCGTTTAATAGTGGGAGCAATTCCCCCTCTGCATCTGACAACCTAATCTAGAAATGGAGTATGGAAAATTTTAGCCTAAAACCCAGAAATACATGGCACTTCTAAATGCATGAAAAAGAGGCTTTTAATTTTCCTCAGTGAGAGCGATCTAAGTTTGATGGTGCATGACTGTATTCTGTCTCTTATTCTGGACCTTACTGGCTTCACAATTTGAACTTAATTTATTTGCACAGATGGAGGCTCTACAGAGGGAAAAGTGGTCTCTAGATTTGGGTACTCTAGACTCCCAGTTACCCAGTGTGATATCCCCAGAGTGCTATAGATGGGAGATAACGTACGAACCCAAGCCATGGTGATGGAGCCTGAGCTATGTTCAGAGCAGCCTATGGTATCTTCAGGGTGGTGTCTCACAGTCCATCTGGATCCCTTAACAGAGTAACTAGATGTGGCCTAGCAGTTGCCTTTTACCTGGTCTGATTGTGATGGGGAATGTTGGAGGGTGACCCCAGGGCTGGGCTCCCAAGGAGCACGACTTACCCCCTCATCGCGAGACGGGAGAGTGCCAGCTCAGCAAAGGGTGACTTTTGCTCACATCAACGTCATGACCACCCCTGCAGTGCCTGAAAATATTCTTCCAGAAAATAAAGATAATATCTGTTGAGCTTAGAAGTGCTGAAGACTGGAAGTGGGCAAACAGGACATTGGAGACCTGCAAAGCCCCAGACTCAATAAACACGTGCTCCTAAGGGAAATCTCCTCATTTGAGATCTTTCCCCACAGAGAGAAGAGAAAGGTATACTTCCTAACAACAAACCTCTTGGAATCAGAGGAGTTTTGAATGGTTCTGGTTCCCTGTACAAAGCAACTGTCTGACACCTAAGTTTTCTGTGTGGGATCAAGGACCAGCTTTTCTCATGACTGAAGGTGATGTCCCCATTTTGCAGGAAAACATAGCAGCCCAAGATAGTGCAAAGGGAAGAGCCTTTTGACTGTGTTTTGCTATGGCCCAAGCATCTATGCCTTTAGAAACCCCAAACCACAAGAAAATATCTATGCTAGTTAAAGCATTCTTGCCCATGTCACCACTGCTCTGTGAAATCTGTGAGACAGAGGAGTCAAACAAGGGTGAAGAACTTGGAGCATGGGCACATTCAAAGCCCTGCTGAGCACCAGAAGTGATGGCTTGTGGCCCAGTGCTGAAGGATGGAATTAGGGCAACGGAAATCTGGTTCATGAAAAGCCCCTGGGTCCCAGCACCCTGGGGAGAGAACTGCAAGCACAGAGGCTGAGGCACTTTTCTCAGGCTCTCCCCACGAAGTTATCTAGCTAACAACTACCATTAAAGCTATGTGGTGCACCTCATTTGTCCTGTCAGCTAAAGACCTTTAGGAAACTAGATGCACAGGTATAACTCAGAAAACTCGGCACCCGTGATCCTGGCAAGAAAGCCAGTACTCGGGCTCCTCTCCAAATTATCCAAACAAAACATTCAAGTCATTATGGGATGTCTAAGGAAAGAGGCGGGGAACCAGTCATCTGAAAGCTGTTAGCCACCATGGTGCCTGCCCTCAGTTGAGCGCCAGGAAAGACCCAAACAACGGTCATATTTAGATGCTTCTATTAATTGTGGTTTAACACGTGGATTGATGTAGAAAGAAATGTGTAGTAAAAGGTCTGTTTCACACCGGACTACCTCAAGCAACCACAGAGGAGAAGTGGAGAATTTCACCCCTCGTTAAAGCCAAGAGATGTTCATTAGCCAGCTAAGGTGAGGAGATAAACAGAAAGAGCAGCCTATGTAAGGACAGGCAATAAACTTCTTTTTTCAGCAAGAGTGTCCACACTGGGTCACTGACTGGGTCAGGAATGAACAGAGTGGGGTTTGGGTGAGAAATTGGACCTATAGGGTCCTCTGAAAGACTTTAGAAGGGAGATTGGAGGTAAGATCTAATAGGCCTGTGAGAAAAAAGAGAGAAAGGAACAATCTGACACATGTATAGAGACTCTGACAACCACCATGGCAGGTGATACACCTTGAACAAACTGGGTGCACAAGGTAGGTGGGAAACCCATAGAGCAAAAGTAAGAGGAGATTTGGTTAATTGGAGGAGATACCAAACCAGTAAAAATGCCCCAAACCCATCAGAAATAGGCAGCAGGCCAGCAGCAGAGCAGGGGTTATCCCATAAGCTGCCCGGTGTGCAGTATGTTAGGGCTGCATCCCTGGGGCAGGTTTTGTGCATGTGGGTTTAGGGCAAGGGGTTGGGCACACGGAGGGCTGAGGTTGACCATCTCGATGCAAGAGTGGCTCAGCAGGCGCAGGGCAGGAGCAGGTCTATGCAGAGAGCAGACCTCACGAGATGTCTATGGTGGTTGCTAAGGGGTTCAGGAGAGGAGTGGGTGGTGGCTGTGGTGATTGTGGGCACCAAGGATGAAGGTGGGACCTTCAGAGTTTGGCTATGAGACAAGAGAGAAGCTCAGGTCACACCCAGAGTTTCAGTGCACGGATGTCAAAATGATTCTACAATTCTATGAGATGGTAGAGAGGAGAAATTTAGGTCTGTAAAGAACCAGGGAATCTTTTGGGACAAAGGCAAGTGATTCGGAAATGAGAGACTGTACCATACTTGGAGCAGAGCCAGAATGAGAGGTTTGCAGAGGAGTGTTTAATTAGAAGCAGCAAGGGAGCTGATGGGTGTGGGAGTGCATGTGGGCTGGGCTGATGAGACCTGAGAGGACAGTGAGCTGACATCCAGTTCACCTCTGACAAGGCCAGGGGAGAACTAAAGCCCGACTGCAATAACTAGGGAAGGCAAACCCAAGCATCTGCAAATCCAGTTGGCTGGGACGTGCTATCTTGAGTGACCGATTGAAAGGAAATCTTACACATAATTCTGCACCGATGCTCCAAGCTGAAAATGAGATGGAGGAGCTGGAAAGCTTGGCATGAGACAGCAACTCTGGTGCAAGGGGAACCTCCGAGACCTGGTGTCTTGTCATATTACCAGCTTTATGGCAATGATAGTGTAGGATGCACAAGTGGAGGAGTGGCACTGTGCATGAAGGGCTACATAACTTGCAACAGCATAAAAATACTATGGCTAAAGAGAAGCATTACAGAGTTCTTGTAGGCAGACATCCCATACTCTAATAATAAAAATATAGTACTAGGAATGCACTTGCAATCTCCTCATCACGATGACAACAGCCATCAGAAAATATTGAGAGTAGAAAGCTGAAAGCAGGTAGCATATAACAGGAGATTTTGTGTGTCTTTACAAAGAAATGATGTTGTCGCAGAATGAGATATGTGCAACAAACACCTGATTCCTATAGTAATTAGTCTTGCAAACAAATCCACAACACAAGATGCTATTCTACATTTGATCTTTAGTGCTGCACAGGTCCTAGTTCAAGCAGGTTTTGGTGGAGGGAACCCTGTACCAGCAGTCACAGTAGAGCTTTGGGGGGACAGAGAAGTAGCCTTAGAAAGAAGAAGCCTATATAATTTTAGGGCCTGTGTTAAAAGCCTATACTCCAAAAGAAAGAGACATTTTAATAAATATTGAGCCTGATGTCTATCAGCGGAACAGTTAGAAAGACTATTATAGGGAAAAGTTTACCATTTAGAAAGTAGAGGACTTGTCCCTGAACACGAAAGACTGTATCATGGCCAATCAAATATGGAGAGGAAACTAAGTGCATTGAAAAAAAAAAAGAAGTAATGATTACCTGGTAAAGGATGCTCAGGCTGACTGACAGGAAGTTGTGTAAACCCACTGAAAGATGAAAGACTGCTAGGGAACTGGCAGGGTTATTTGGTGGACAACAAGGCCACAGCAGAGAAACTTAATGGATTGACTTTTCGCCATTGAAGATGTTGAGCTGTTTTATTACCTGATGCAGCAAACAAGTCAGAGGAGTCAGCTCAGCTCAAGGGCTGCACTCA